TTAGCTTTTAAATTGAAAGAGAAGCAAGAACATGGAAGGGAGATGGTGGAAATCTGTTTGTAGAGAAGGGATGCAACAGACCAAGACCTAGTCTTTTCATACAATCCATATCAAAATTGAATAATTGTGCCAATCAATTGATAAATAGACAGACATATGACAGTATTGTTATCTTTTTCTGGTTGAGCCAAACAGGGAGTGAAGTAAAGAATGGGTTGCCTCATTTACTCTAGCTTTTTATACCATGACATAAATGTCATTTTCACTTATCTATCATTTGAACAAGTCTTACCTGTTGCGAGACATGGAATAATTGGATTGTCCCTAAAGAGATAAAGATGACATTTTCTTTCCACAAATAATACAAATTTACCGTATTTTTTAATGGAAGAATTCATATACTTGGTATCAACTAAATTGAACCTAATTAATTTTTTTTTAAATGAAGACAAAAATATTTTTTTTCGCAAACATCAAAATTAGAATTAAGTTATATATAAGGATACCTCTCTCTCTCTTTTTTAGCTTCTTCTCAAGTATCCTCTCTCTCTCTAAATATGAAATTAATCTCATTTTAGGGTTCATGACTGTCCTTTTCTATTAGTGTTTTTTGTTGGACCAAACTCATAATTTGATAGATGTCTTTTGCTGAATTCAAACCTTATGAATTATAATTTTTAATCCGTTTAAGAAGATAAAAAAGAAAAGAGAAGAGAATAATAATAATTTTTTATTTATGAAAAAAATAAAAACACATGAGTCACCATCCTTACTATTCAGACAGTCCAAATATAAAGTTATGTGCCATTTATTTGCAAGTAACGGGAATTTTTTGGACCAACCAATTTCATTGACACTTGAGGGATAAGGTAACTATTGAAAGAGAATAGTGAGTTTGTTTGGTGGTGCTTGTTAGTATTGATTTGTAAGTCACATAAAGATCTTCTTTTTTTTTTTTTTTTTTTAAAATTGATTTGTAAGATCACATAAAAGATCTTCTTTTCTTTTTTTTTTTTGGAAAATCTTTTTTTTTTTTTTTTTTTTTTTTTTTGAAAATCTTTTTTTTTTTTGAAATATGAAAATAAAGGGAAAAAAAAAAAAAGAAGAAGAATAGGGGAGTCCTAATCAAGATGATGGGTACCTAAAACCATATTTAAGTTGATATGATAATAAAAAAAGAAGGAGACCTAAAATTTCATTTTAGGAGGTTTGAAAAGTAAAATTGTAATATCTCTTGATGTTAAATAATTTTATTTAATTCTTAGATGGCACTATCCAACTCAAAATTTTCATTTTGGTGTGTTGAAAATGGAGGTAACATGAGTGGTGGTTGGACCATCAAGCCATTGGCATTTTGCTTCTTGGTAAGGGAAATGGTGGGATCTGAATCCAGCTAACTCACATGAATGTGTTGCAATGTCATTAGAAGAATATTCTTGGAATTGCAATTTCAATCTCTCCATAGATTAAGTTTGATCTTAAAACAAAATGACTTGATGAATTAAGTTTGATCTTTTTTTTTTTTATTCATAATGAGGTCTAATGGTCGAAATAATACTGCGTGCTACACAACATGGGTAGTTTTATTCTCAATTCACTAAATTGGTAAAACCTATGGTAAATTCAAACTCGAAATTTCACAATCCTCACGTAAATGAGAAGAAAAAAACTGTATAAAAAAATAACATATAATTTATAAATCAAAATTGTTCTTTTGGGGAATGAAGAGAGAGTGAAGATGAAGAACAAGCTTAATTAAGAGTATTTGTTAGGATTAGGAATTCTTGTTGAGAATATTGGATATTTCTCCCTACGTTCTCTTTTTATATAAGAATAACTAATTTTTCACTAAGATTAAAAAAGTATAATCATTTTTTTAATTATTTTTTTCCTAATTTACTCCTAATATCTCAATTATCCCCTCTAATATCATTGTATGCTTTAAATTATGTTTCAACATTCAGTTAGATTTTAGCTGTGTTGTTGGAATAAAAGGGAATACAAACAATTGCAGAAATAAAATTTATGCTTTGATCTGTAGAGAGAAATTCATTTTTTTCCTTATTTAGTAAAATTGTGAGGAAATATGAAAATTTGTGCCCATTTAACTTTTCAATTACCTTTTATTATTGGAAATGTACTTTAGATTTTGGCACAATTTTTTAAATATTCGGTAAAATCTGCAAGAATTCCTTTTAATATGGTCAATTTGAAAATTCTGTTGCTTTTTTCTATTCAGATTCCATTTTAATCGGTGTTCATATAATCTATACAAGCACATTTTTTTTTTTAGAAATTGATGCAAAAAATCCATTTTTCAAAATTTACTCACATTAAATGCTTATCTACACCTTTGTCTACAACTATCTTGGGAATCTTCCACACTAAAAGCTTTACGAAAAACTAAAATAAATATTTTATATTGACATGGTTTTCAAAGTTATCAAATAAGGCAAAATCTTTTATATAAAAAGAATACTTAAAATTGAAACCTTTTCTGTATAAAAAGAATGGGAAAATATTAAATTATAACATATTGTTTAAGTTAATGGTAAATGAGAAGTGCATTGGGATGGGAATAAGAAATCGGAAGCCCAGAAATGAAGGCCCAAAAAGAACATGGGCTCTTTGGGTTTCTAAATCAGTGGGGCAACCAAACAGAACTATTATTACTTGTTACTTTTGGACCTATTCTAATTGAAGAAGAGAATAGAGGCAAAGGAGCACTAAAGATATGTTTACCATAACCTTTAATTTTTTTTTTTTTTAGGATTTTCTCTATGTTTTATTTTATTATTATATTATTATTATTATTTTAAAAATAAACATTAATATTTCACTAATAGAATTTCAATAATATAAATAGTCTCCAGACCTAAAAACAAATTAAATTCACTTATCTTATAAAAAAAGTTTAGCAAAAATCGATGAATAAATATAAGAGCAAATATAGAAAAATGTTTTCAGAAAAAATAAAAGCAAATATAGGTATATGAGTAATTGTTCTAATAATGTTGTTTTAATAATTTTATTCCCTCAAAAATAATTCTCCTTTTTAAGAGAAAAAAAATCCAAATGGATATGTACTTACCATAATACGATGGACTCACAATTCGAATAGTCTTTCATTTCACTCACTAAATTAGTGAAAATTCTCGTGTTTGAAAGACTTGAATTCGAGATTTTTAACTCTTCGCATTAACGAAAAGACTAATTAAAACACACATGGTTAATACCTGAACATCTAATTAGGTCAAATATATATTTATCACTAAATTAAATTCGTAGGTCATTAAGGTAATAGTGTTGAGAGTGAGATACCAGTGCTCAGAATGTGAAAAATTCATGAATTTTCACAAAATTCACTGGATCATGAAATTTCCCAATTCATCATTTGATTACAAAACAAAATTCATGGAATTAAAGGATTTTTTTCAGAGTAAAATTAAATGATTTAGAATTCCAACATTAACAAAAATAAAAAAATAAAAAAAAGCAATGAAATTGAAGAAATTACAATTTTTTCAGTTGAAATTTCTCTTTCATCTAAAGTGGTGAAATTGACGTCATGATTAAATTTATTAACCCATACAATTTCAGCCTACTATTTTTTTTTTCTCAACCAATATGAAATGATAAATCTATAACTCCATCAATTTAAACAACCTCTTAGTAATTTTATTCTTTGAAAATAATTCTCCCCCTTAAAAAGAAAATTCAAATAAATAAATGCTGGATATGCATTACCCACATCTAATTCATTCTAATATTATTAAAGTAATTTGAAATTTGAAATAAATAAGAAATTTGAAAAAGCTGAGTTGTCGTCTTGGATATGCTTAGATAACAAACAAAGTAATTTTCATTTGGTATTTAAAGCTACTCATGTTGGCTATATATCATTAGTTAGAACGTCTCATTTCAAATCCTAGATGATAAAAAACAAAATGAGTCTATATTTACAAGATTTTTAAATTAATTAAATAGGTAAAATTGATATTTATAATTCCACTCTAAATTGATTTTTATATTATTTTAATTAAAATTGTAACTTAATTTATTGGCTAACTCAAATTAACCTAAATACATTATCTGATTTTAGATGTAATTCAGTTAATTACATGCCCTTGCGCACTTCTCTGTATCTATTTTAATAATTTTATTATTATTATTATTATTTTGGTATTTTGCAAATTTCTCATTCCATTCCTTTCAGTATATATCAATCAAACAGTTGATTGGAATTTGAATTTCAAATTTCATGGTAAGTACTAAAATACATGAATAGTAATTTTGTTCCCTGTTCAATTCAATTCCATTTCCCTATTCCATTCCTTTCCTTATTACATTGCTTACTCTATACTAAACAATACTAAACATAATCGAATACTCAACTGGCTTTCGTATTTGTATAACATTACTCTAACCAAAAATAAATTACTTAAACATTTATTATCTTTGCCTCTAAATATAAATCATTTTATAATGATTGTTATACTTATTTATATTAAATAAAATAACTATATTCATAAATTATCCTTATTTTTGAAATAAAGAATAAATTAATAAAATTATCCATGATTTTATTGTAATTAAAAAAATTAATTATTTCTTTAATCACCCTCCATGTAACGACAATATACAAATAAATACAAATAGAGTCAAGCACATTTCCTTGAGACATGAATGAAAAAAGAAAGTATAATATATAATAGGTATTTAGAGCTCCTAAAATCAACCAACATGATCACCAAAGCTTGTTAGAAACATAAATGACATCTAAAATATTTACAAGTAGAGAACAAAGCTTTTATGTGGTATCATTAAAATCTTGTTGGTGAGTCTATAAACAAACAATTCCCATGAAATGATGCTAACCAAATTAATTCCACATAGGATAATTCAAATATTTTTTCCTATTATATTATCCTATATTACACAACAAAAATTGGAAAAAAACCTCTCTTTACCTTCTCTCCTCTTATTATATTGTCGGGTTACTATGACAATGACGCGCGCCGCAGGTTCACCGGAAAACACAGTGGACATCTAATCAGACCGTTGATATTACAAACTGTGCAGCTTCTAAACCCATACTTCTCTATATAGATCTTATGGCTACCATTGCAATGTTCGCAGAGAATAAATCTCAGCCCTCCACAAAGCTCACAGACGTTAGTTTCAACAAACGGTAATTCATGGATCAACTTCTTCAACTCACCGCTCTCATTCATCTCTTTAATCTCTTCAGCCCCACCGACATATTTCCCTCCTATAAAAACTACTGGCAATGAGACTCTTTTAGACCCTGTTATTGCCTGCAACTCATCTAAATACCTACCATCCATCGACAAATCTCGTTCGTCGATTGGGACGCGAAATCCACGGAGGATTGATCTAACAGTCCTGCAATCCTCAAAGGTTTTACGGACAACACGGAGGGTAGTGAAGTAGAGAATAAGGTCATGGTCATCACTGTTAGCTGGTGATGATAAAATGATAGGTGGTTTTGAGTAGTGGTAGCGGTGGTTACGGAGGAGCGAGGTAGCAATCCGAACCCGGTGGAAAACGGAGGGGCTTCTAGGCGATTCGGGTTTGCATATGGATCTGCTCTGTGGTTCTTCTAGAAGAAGGGTGTTGACGTCTTTGAGAGAAGAGCAAGAGAAGTACCTTGGTGATTTTGGCGGACCTTGCGATGTCGCCGGTGGCTTTGTTGCTGAAATGTGAGCCCTGCTTGGTGATCTCAACCACTCCGGCCACATTAGAGTAACAGAGAGAGAGAGAGAGAGAGAGAGAGAGACTGGTGGAGAAATGAGGCTGGCTAGGGTTATACAATGGGGTTGTGGTGGGGGTCTAGGCCTTTTATTATAGATTGGTGTATGTATATAACTATATATAAAATACAATACGAGAGAGGGGTTTTGGGTAAGCTAGGAACTAAAATGGTATGTAGCTTATTTTTGGGATTTTTGTATTTTGATAAAAGATTGGAGCCATTTTTTGAAATTCTTTTGTTGTGGGGATGCAGTGAGATTTGCTAATCCTAAAAAAATTAATTGGAGAACAGAGGAAGTGCCATAAATTCTGCTTCCCAGTTGCCAATGTGGAACTTACTTGTATGTGCAAAGCACGTGCAAAAACACCTAAGGGATCATTATTGAAATTTTATTATTTGTGTACACAGTACAGTATAAATTGCTACGAGTCTAAATTCTAAACCAATGTGTCATAATGGTATGGTTTGTACTTGCCATTTCTATATTTGCTATTATAGCCTAAATAACAAAAATGTATATCTAATCAACTTAATCTTGTTCAATCGTTGATGAATCTTAATCATCCATCATTTCATAACTCAAAACACCATCATTTCATAACTCAAACAAGGAGAAAGTTAGGATTTTAATACTTTATTTGCTTGGAAATTTTGATAATTCCAACACATATTTACTCTAATTTTATACATATATATGAGGACATGTGCTCTTCATTCTAAATCAATTTTATCTTATTTCGAAATTAAAAGAGAAAATTTATAAAAACAAGCTAAATAAAAATTACGGAATACGCTACAAATCTTTTATGGAAAATTATTGAAAAGAAAATCTTGTTTGCTTTCCTACAAATAATTTTTTTGGTAACGGGATATTTCCACAACAAGTATAATGGTAATGAGAAAAAGAATAGGAGAGTCAAAACTAATGACAAAATTTCTGATTATCTGTTAACATTCAGAATGTCAACTATTGGCAAAAAAAAAAAAAAAAAAAAAAAAAAAAAAAAAAAAAAAAGATGCATGGAAAATTATTGAAAAGAAAATCTTGTTTGGCTTCCCTCGCCCCCCACCCCCTCCTCCTACAAATAAGTTCTTTTTTTGGTAACACACTGGGGCATATTTCACAACAAGTACTACAGTAATGGAGAAAAAGAATAGGGGAGAGTGCCACTAAACTACATCGACACCTACAAAAATTTTCTGATTATCGCTGTTAACATTCAGAATGTCACATATTGGCAAAAAACAAAAATAAAAAAAAAAAAAAAAAAAAAAAAAAAAAAAAAAAAAAGCATTGGCAAATATCTAGGTCCTATAATTTAATTTGGCAAAAGACAGGGGTAAATTCAGATTTACAGCCAAGGAATACCTCCACACAAACTGGCATAAACGAAAAAAAAAAAAAAAAAAAAAAAAAAAAAAAAAAAAAAAGATTGCAATATTAGTCCTATAATTTAATTGCAAAGACAGGGGTAAATTTCAGATTACACCAGGATACTACACTGGCATAGAAATAGTATGTAACAGAATGTATTCTAAGAACTAGAGACAAGTGTATTCTCAGTTTATATATTTTAACTATGCTAATAATTGAGAACTGCTGTCTATATTCTGGTTTTTGCCTAAAATAATCTGTATCATGGAAGAAATATTGTATTATGAGTAAAGTTTTAAGTCTTAACCATGTTATTATAGAACATAAACACAAAAGAAAATTCTGAAAAGTATAGACATATGCAAGAAGTAATGAGTGCTGACCTTATATATATATCCATCACAACTTTCCTCCTTTAGAGATGAGAATCTCCCCGTAAGGCACTTTTTGTTCAACTCTTAGGAAGTCACGCGAAGCAAGAACTACACCCGAAGTGGCAAATTATCCCAGTTTCAATTTGTTGGAATTTAAGCAACAAAAAAATGGACACTAGCTCTAATGTAATTGGCGCGGAAAGAACTTATATGTATGGATACCACAAGTTTGATAAAAGAGCATCGCTGCTCCTTTTCGGTTCATTCCAGCAGCTAGTTTGTTCAACGATTCTACTTGAGGAGCTCCTGGAGTTTCAAAATGTGCTTTCATTTGCCTGTAGGTATTTAAGTCCAAGTAATATCAGTCAACTAATCAAATAATAGATATTAAGACCAAGGACATTAGAGAATCTCAAAAGAGCAGTACAATCGGATAGTATCAGTCATCTTGTCTGCAGGCTGACTGATGACTGGAAGTTGAGTTTGTGTAGGTCCAGTTTCCACCAGTAGTTCTGTGGAAAAGAAAGTTCAATGCCACGGATTCAAAGTCACCAAGGAAAAAAAAAAAAAAAAGGTTAAAATTTCAAGAGCCAAAGTTGCTGCAATAAAAGAGATAGGTCACAATATTATCTCTTTACCTTGATCAGGTGTTGGGTCATTTTCAGTCAGCCTTGATAATCTGAAATTCGGATCTGAAAATTGCCTTGAATTCTCTTCTTCAACTGGTTCCAGGCTACTGCCACTGTGTCTAGAAGAGGAGTAAGGCCTTTTCTTGTTGGATCTGTCGTCAGGGCTTCGAAATTTCAATACATGTGAACATATATAGTTTCAATTAAAGAATATATATACGTAGTTACAAAGCCAAATTCAATGGCTATATATAAAAATTAAAATGAACTTCTCATACAACTCCAATTATCATTCTAGATGGTATTACACCAAGATGCTCTCCTGACCTTCCTGAATGAACTTCTAAATGATGTAATGGCATGCCATGTCCTGATCCTGAGCTTGGGATGGATCTTACCTCATCTGCTGTAAATTTGCATGAGGCAAAAACTTATGTACGTATATTCATAGTCTAATTACTTCTCGTTATAAATGTGAAGCATAGCATGAGGAAAGAGACGTGTAACTTACCAGAATTTCCAGGTGTCACAAGATTGGCCTCAGTTATCTTCTTACCATTGTTCATAAGGTTGTTTTTTAGCTCTCCCATGAGGATTTCCATTGGCATGTCATCTTTGACAACGGTGTTCCGCTGTTTCTCTATGGAAACACCCAGTGACTGAGAGCCAACTCCACTGTAAAAATCTTCAAAGGGCTTCATGTCCAAACACTGAATTAGATAGGCTGCAATGTTTCTCCTTGGAACAGACTAAGATTTTTGGAGTGACTTACATGTTCCATTGAACCTTGATAATGTCCTCTCTCTGGTGGTGATGATGATGATGGTTCTGGAGGCAAGGGTAGGGAAGTACTTACTGCTTAGAGAAGAAGAATATGAATTTTACTAATCCATTGTCTTTTTGAAGATGATAATCTCAAAAGCAACCATATGTAAACTCTCACCAGAAGGTGATTCATGGGGACTTTGGGTACTTTTAATCCAGAGCTGCAGAAGAGGTGCTGGATAATAGATTGCTTTATTTTCATTTGTCCATAAATTATCAACAAGTACCGTGGGTGGAACATCCATGAGGTTAGCAACCTTCATTTCAGACATAATATCCCTGCGTGCCTGAAATAAATCCAGTATAGTAACAAAAGTTGCTTTTGTTTTGTTACTGTAACGTCTGTCTTGCAAGGTGGATATTTTGAAAAGATAACTGAAACTTTTTAAAACAATTACAGGTAACACAGCACATTCTCAAGCTAACCATATATCCAATTATCTCCTGACATGTAAGATGGTAAAACAATTCTTTGGGCAAATTTGAATGTGAACCATGCTGGATATCAAGGACAAACCTTTCTTTTTCTTCCTCTTCTTGATACAATATCAGAAGCATTTTGAAGCCATGACTGGTATATTGGACCAGGAATAATGGTTTGTTCATAATCCATTGCAGGGGCTGCATGTCTTTTTCTTGTTTTCCTCTTAACTAGTCCTTGCTTCTGCTGATCCTGCTTCATCCCCTTCTTCAAGGTCAGTTAACTCTATTTACCTTTTATTACTTTCACATGATCAGCCATGGAGTAGCTTTATTTAAATTACTTTACCGGTCTGGTTGCTTTACATTCATCAGCTTGTTGATTGAATTGTTTTTCTGGATGGTCTTGGATTTCTTCATCTGCAGTAGGCAATGTTAATGTACATACTCAGCTAAACGTTTTCTTATGTGGATGTTTTTGGTATAAATATTCACTAATGGGAAGAATAACCACACCTACAATGCAATGTGGAAGAATAAGAACAAATTGTTTGAGATACAAACGCACAGGTTGACATTGTCATTTTCAAAAATCTAACCAAGAAAGATTAGACCAAGCAATCACAGAGAAAATAAAGGTAAAGAAATTCACTGCAAAAATTTGAGAAACACCATCTTTCCCTTTTCTGGAATTATGATATTTGCACTTTCCAGTCCAGGAAAATAAAAGAAAAAAAAAACAAATAAATAGTGGAAAGAAGAAAAGAAAAGGTTCCATGTGTTTATTGCATAACTTCTGACATTAAGATGCCGAAGGTGGTTTTAAATAATAAGAAGAAACAAAGGTTAACATAATACATGTCGTTTGAGATACACATATTTAGTTATGACTGACCTCTTGGAGCTTCATCCTGTCTGGGTGGGGAGGGCATGAGAGTAGTTGGGGTCTCCATATGCTCTCCTGAGGTGAAGTTCAGTTGTGTCTCCTCATCTTCTTCAATGTCAAATCTGCCATATCAGCAACAAAGATATATGTGTTTTGAGGTTAAATTGTAAATTAATGAATATAAGCGACATCCCTTGTGAAATTTAAAGCGTAAATTAATGAATATAAGCGCTATCCCTTGTGAACTGCAGACTGAATTTCCTAATTCCTTTTTTATTCAATTTTACTCATCTAGAACCGCTGTAATTCAAAATCAATCACTTCAACCAGAAGAAAATATTTGCAGCATGGTGTAGAATCACCTTTCAAAGCGATTGTATGTCTCTGAGTGTGCCTGATATAAATCAAAACTCTCAAACAATTTGATATTTTCAGCATCAGCTGAGGGAAAAACGCTGATTAGCTTTAGGAATCAAGTATAAAATCGATAGCTAGGGAAATGGACAAGCCAAGGAATAATTAAAGAGAAAAAAAAAAAAAAAACCTTGATGTAATTGCCGGGAGACATCTTCCTCCCTTGGATCATTGTTAATATAGGGTTCATCAACATCATCGAGTCGCTGCACATGAAGAACGCTATGTAGAGATTAGAAATTAATTCGATGGAGCAATGCGAAAATTTTCACAGTTAACTTTTTGAGGCAATTTATTAAAATGAAAGTTTAAATGACAATGCCATTTAAGAATGTGATGTAGTCCCTTGCTAACTCACTTGCATTGAACAGAGTAAAATCATAATTATCACACTAAGCAAACGTTTTTAGAAATAGAAAGATGTAGAAACAAGGACACTAGTTTTGTCTCTTGAATGTTACAGGGTTTCATCTAAACAGGAAGAACTAACAAGGTTGTACGTAACAGTAATAGATCAAGAAGGCATCAACAATCATAAAACTCAAAAATAATCAAATTAAAGAATTATCCCGGGTAAAATATCGTGATTCAACTAGATTAAAGTGACTCAAACGAACAAGGGTGAAGTGAACTAATAACCAGAAAAAAAGGAGAAATTTATGAGATCACCATCCTATAAAAACTTCAGAGTTTTTCGCTGAATCTAGATTTGAAAAGGTCCACTTTTGACATGCTAGTAATTGCAGCTCCAGTTTAGCAGAGGATTTATTTCGGACCTCAAATTGATAAAGTTACATGATCAAAATTGCTTTACCATACAAGAGAAGCATAGGCAAACATAATCATACATCCACATCAATGATAATGCATATTTACTATCATATTCAAGGTAAGAAACTGCAATCCATTAACTTTCATCTAACGGTTTCGGATAACTGACTAATCCATAAATTTAATTTAATTACTTGACTGCCTTTAGATAACAGAGTAATCCATAAATTTAATATAATTACTTGACTAAAACCCAAAACAATTTATTTGAACAAGTGGGAAGTAAAACACCCTAGAAAATATTCCATTCAACTTATTGATTCTCCATTATCCACAGTATGCTTGTAATTTTTAAACCATACGTAGAAGGCTGAATAAATATCAATTTACCATGGCAAAATAGGCAGTCTGTTGGAACCCAATTGTGGCGGTTGCATTGGAGAAATTAACGGATCGCTCAATATCTCCCAGATCTGTCTCTTGGTTCTCTGGCAGAGTCACAGCTTCTTTCCTGCAAACATGGACACAAACAAATTAACCCAGAACGAAACTCAAGCAATTTGATTTGACCTTGCTACCCTCGAACGAGAGACCGTGAACGATAAGGCCTACAGCTGTTACTACATACTGGTCTTTTACAATGCTAAGATGCACATATTCTCTTTGCTATAGCGCGCTGGTTTAGTGAAATAAGTTGCTAAAATACGCTGATTTAAGGAAAGAGAAGATCAGAAACAGTGACAGACTTGGCCTGGGATTTTCCATTAGGAAGTACGGTAGGGTCTGGAGCTGGTTTTACTTTCCATGCTTCATTTATTTCAACCTGATAAACGAAAAGTTAACATGCAACGCTATATGATTTAAAATCAGCACTGAACAAGGAAATTTAAAAAGTGACAATAAAAACAGAGAAAATGGTTTTGTTTTCTACCAGTAAACGGGTCACATCATCTGCAAAGAAACACACACTAAAAACTGTTAACTCATCCCCACATATTGAATAAACAGAAATTGAACTTCAAATATTAGCGACAAAAGAGACTAGCAGTCACACCATAGAGGAGTTTCACTTTTCGTTCGTAAACAATAACAACTCCACCTGAAGGAAGAACAGAAAAGAAAAATGTCCTGTTCTTGTTAGTATAATTTAAGCAGAAATTGATAACAAAAGAGAAACTGAAAAGAAGAAATTACCCATGAGAATTCCAGAGAGCCTTAGAGCCATTGGTACAGAAGGATTTAAAATCTCTTCACTGTAACCCGATGTTGAAACGCAAAATAGTTAAAATAAACTAGACCAAAATTTTAATAGAATTTGAGATAAAAATAAACAGAAATAATAAAGAAGAGGAATAACCAGATTTTGATGATATTGAGCTTGTCTAGCTTCTTTCGATTGATTTTGGCGTGCATAGTTGCCGCCATCCTTCGTCACATGAAGCAGAGAAAACAGAGATTCATATTAAGCATTAGAATTTGAATGTTAGTCTAATCGCCAAAAACAGAGAACTATTAACAAAACTTGATATTCATTTTCAGAAATAGTCGTTATCATCTTCAAAAATCAAATGGAAATAAGTTAAAACTAGTTTAGAATCCAAAAATCTATAAAGCAGCGAAGCCATTGTAATTTTATCGAAGAAAACAGAGACATATTATAGGCATAAAAAACGAACTAAAAGCGAAAGTAAGTGAAAATAGAAGGTCACCATATCTGTCCTAGAGGCGCTTTGCGAGCAAGAAGCTGGTGAGAATAAAACATTCTTAATAACTTTAAGTTTCACTATTAGAAGAACAGAGGAGAAAGAGAAATCGATAATGGCTTTCAATAATAATAATAATAATAAGAAGAAGAAGAAGAAGAAGAAGAAGAAGAAAATTTATTTTGAGAAAGAGAGAGATCGCATGAGAAAGGAGTGCGGGAATTTTGATTCTCTTTTTAAAACGAACTGCACTCGCCCGCCATGACACAGATTTTGTCAGGTTGCAGAGGAATTGTTTCATGATAAAGTCACCTCAGTAAAATGAACCTTTTGGTACTATTTATTACGTGGCGTTGTAGGCGGATAGACATGTGCAATACCACGCTAAGCTCGTCGACGAAGGTATTACAGTTTGCTGTCAACCGTCAGGTGACGTTAGTAGAAACTTATGCAACGACCTTAAGTTGTTATTTTGTCTTTTGGGCCGTACCAGATCAGCTGCTTGCTTTGGTTCACCCTCGTTTCCTTCTCCACCTCCTCTTTATTTATATAAATTTAAAACAATAAATGTAAATTTTACTTTCAAATATAAAAAAACAATAATTTTAAATTTAAGCAAAATCTATTTATTTAACACAATTTCAATAATAATTAGTAGTGTTAATCTTGTGTTTATCACAAAATCAAAACTAATAAAGAGAGATAGACCAGATATTTGATGATTACTTTCGGCAGCTTGTCTCAAGCCTCTCTTTCGTATTTTGCACTCTTTTGGCGTGCATAGTTGCCCCATCCTTCGTCTCACATGACTGACAAGTAGATAAACACTGGGATTCATAATCTCATGCTGCTCATTTAATTAAGAATTCTGAATTGCTTACGTCACTCAATCGCCCAAAAGAACATGTAGAACTTATTAACAAAAACTTGACTCATTCATTTTCAAAATAGTCCGTCTATCATCTCTCAAAAATCAGATGCAGATAATAATGGTTAGAAACTTTACGGTTTTTCTTCAGAAATCCAAAAATCAATATAAAGCACGCGAAGCCATTGGTAATTTTATCGAACGACAACAGAGACACTATTATAGGCATCAAAAACCGAACTAAAAGCGAAAAGTAAGTGAAAATAAGAAGGATCCCATATCTTGTCCTAGAGGCGCTTGGCGAGCAAGAAGCTGGTAGAGAAATAAAACATTCTTAATAACTTTAAGTTTCACTTATTAGAAAGAACCGAGGAGAAAGAAGAAATCGATAACATGGGCTTTCAAATAATAATCAATCAATAATAACGAAAGATAGAAGAAGAAGAAGAAAAAAAAAACAAAAAGAGAAAAAAAGAAAATTTATTCTTGCAGAACAAGAGAGAGACTCGCATGAGAAAGGAGATGCCGGAAATTATTGACTTCTCTTTTAAACGAACTGACACGCTCGCACGCTCCGCACCATGAACACGATGATTTTTGTCAGGCTTGTCAGAGAGAAATTTGTTTTATATTCATGAATAAAAGTACCTTCAAGTAAATGAACCTTTATGTGTACTATTTATTACGTGGCGTTTGGCGGATAGACATGTGCAATACCACGCTAGAAGCTCGTCGACGAAGGTAAAGAAGAAGAAGAAGAAGAAGAAGAAAATTTATTTTGAGAAAGAGAGAGATCGCATGAGAAAGGAGTGCGGGAATTTTGATTCTCTTTTTAAAACGAACTGCACTCGCCCGCCATGACACAGATTTTGTCAGGTTGCAGAGGAATTGTTTCATGATAAAGTCACCTCAGTAAAATGAACCTTTTGGTACTATTTATTACGTGGCGTTGTAGGCGGATAGACATGTGCAATACCACGCTAAGCTCGTCGACGAAGGTATTACAGTTTGCTGTCAACCGTCAGGTGACGTTAGTAGAAACTTATGCAACGACCTTAAGTTGTTATTTTGTCTTTTGGGCCGTACCAGATCAGCTGCTTGCTTTGGTTCACCCTCGTTTCCTTCTCCACCTCCTCTTTATTTATATAAATTTAAAACAATAAATGTAAATTTTACTTTCAAATATAAAAAAACAATAATTTTAAATTTAAGCAAAATCTATTTATTTAACACAATTTCAATAATAATTAGTAGTGTTAATCTTGTGTTTATCACAAAATCAAGCCATGAAGTGTCATCTTTCGGCTCAATCTTCTTGGTACTCTCCAACTTAATTTCTTGAACCGTAAGATTGAAATTCTTTTATTATAACATTTATTTATTTGTTTGTTTTTTTACTTATATTGTATAACTTTTATTTAGTTTGAAAATTATATATTTTATCTTAATGTATATGATATGGCAATTCTAAGATTTGAAGGTAGAAACATATGTAAATTTTGGCACTGCAAATTATTGTATTACGAATTGCAACTCCTCCGTATCTACAATGTCTACTTTGCTTATGCATGACAGAAAAAAAAAATGGTGCATATTAGCTTATATGCTGCTTGTATATGAGGGATCGTTTATTTAGCCAGTGCTTTATTAATTCAAATTGGATGTGTCCATAGATTTTTAAACAAAAGAAAATATAAAAAGCAATTTAATTAGTGTCCTGTGTTGAATAGGAAAATAATACTCAATATCTAGGTAAATAAATTAATAGTTACAAACACATATATCTACAAACCCTATTATTTTTAATTAATAGTTACAAAAATAATTATTAATTATACTTTTGAATTTTTTTTTCTCTTATCTATATTTACACATTTTTTTATTTTTTTTATATATTTTAGTTTCAAGAATTGTGTAATAGTTTTCTCCATATATATATTTATATATATACACTAATTTCCGTATAAAAAAACTATTACACTAATCTATCCAAAAAATTAGCATTTAATTATTTAATTTACTTTTACATGCCTTTATTCTTTTACTTTAATTACGGAAGTTATGTATTTTGTATAGGGTATTTTTACATCGTTAAAACATAAAAATTGAGCTACGCTTATAAACTTTAAAAGGCTTCAAAATTTAAATTTTTATTATTCATTTAGTAAAAATTTATCATTTGAATTTTTTTTGGAAATAAAATATAATGCATAGCAAATAAAGTAATCGGCACAATGCGGGAGTGTCACGACCCGTTTCCATGGGCCGGACCGGCACTAGGGCCCAGGTAAGCTTAAGGCCCCCGAGGCCCGTAGTAAGCCTGAATCACTAATAACTATTATCTCAATATGGTAAGCTTAAGGCCCCCGAGGCCCCGTAGTAAGCCTGAAACACTAAAATTTACTATCTCAATATATTATTAAACATTCAGCCCATGTTTATAGAGCCTATAATTATAGAAAAATAAACCTTAAGATTCTATTAAATTTCGGCCCAAATTTATCAATTACAACATTTCCACAGTTCGGGCCCAATTAACAATACATTATATTTTTAATATAGGCTCACATAATTACATCGTCTATGTTAATACACGACTAATTGCACACAAATTCTACAACTGCGGAATTCACTAACAGATGTATACAGATAAGTCTTTAGACATTTATCTACTTAATATATCAACATTAAAATTAAAGAATCTCTTTTTAACAGTGAAGGAGTAGAGTTATAGCTGGGATTTAGAAAATGCTACTTCCTGGAAGATTTAAACAAGAGATGTGAGTTTATTAATGAATAATAATTATTGCACAATACAACGCATTCACACAAATGTATGAATATATCAATTTAGTCATCCGGACAGTTATATGCTCACACAGCCAGCTCACAACAAATGCATATCACCAGCACTCAACAGATTATTAACAATCTTCATATAATTCACATCACGTGGGAATTAGTCAGTGGAGTCACCGAACACCCCCGATGAGCCGTTCCTCCCACATGGCCATCCTCTCACGTGTGCACCAGGGGAGCCATTCCCCCAATACTGGCCGACCGGTTAATCCTCACTTGACCAGCCCTTCTCATTGTTTTTTCCATTTCTTCTCTTCATTTTTCATACCAAACAGGAGGCAACCCGGTGGTCTCCTCCAATCTAGATCATCAAGGCGCTCACAACAGGAGGCCACCCTGCGGGCTGCAATGACAAAATCGTAGACTGTCCGAGTGCGCAACGACGAGAAGGCCAACCCGTGGTTAACGGTAACGGTAACGGTAGGTGCACAACGGAGCGCCATCATCCCATTTACCCGGCTAACGTAATGGATCCATACAGTAACGGTATATACTCGTACGGTTAATCAGGGATCCATAAACGTAACGGGTCTCACAACACCCATGGTGACCACTCATCCCCAATTCCAACACAAGGCAAAAGCACAGCAATATCACCAACACAATTAATCAACATTCGAGATTTAAATGCAGGACATTATCGCATCAATTACATATTGGACTGCAATGTTACAATTAAACATCCATTCTCAAATGCCAATTAAATAATTAAATAAATAATATAACAATAACAAGGCAACGATAAAATAAATAATAATAATAATAATAAACTATGATAATGACAAGGTAGTTAAAAGCACTTTATTTATTATGTATTCAAATTGTAGAAATTTATCTAATAGCTTAATTTGTTTATTATTAATTAAAATTGTCTAAAATTCTGTCAAAATCGGCAGCACCTCCCCTAAAAATTGGGCTATCTACCTGCTCAAAATATCAACAATATTAATTCATATCTTTATTCAATCAGTGCACACAGCCCAATCCGGTCGGGCCAATCAATCAATTTAAAAATCGCCATTCCTCCCTTCCAAAAACAACAATATCAAACCATCCAATCAAAATTTACAAAGCTTAATTCTAATAATATCCATTATAAAGATCATTTTATTAAGTCATTAGTTAACTATAAATTATTAGTTTTACCGAACTAATTTGTGGAAAAGCAGCTAAAACATATATTTAACAAATCAACTTAATTATAACTACTACCTTATTAAAATTCGGTTTTTTTATATCAATATCAACAGATGGCTAGGTCTGCCAAATCTGATTTAATCAAATTTCGGATCTAACCGTTAAACCAACAAAATTTGCCTCAACTTTTTCTTATGGCACAATCGGTTAGTTTTAAACTAATGATTATCTAATTAACTTAATTTAACTAATTCTAATTTAGTTTCCCCTCCCTCAATTCACCTATTTTATTAACAATAACCATAGTAATTTATTTGACAAATGTTCTAAACTAATTTACAATTACATTATTCTAATAGTTCCTAAAACAGTTAACAATCATGTCGCTATCCACAATACAGCCACACTAATCAATCTAATTTATTTACAAAAGACTATAAATGTTTCAATATATTTTTAAAGTTTCAATTCCAATAAGTTTAATTTTCTTGTTATTCAATTTAGTCTATTTAATAACTCAATTAAATTCAATTAATCAATTAATCTATATATCATAAAAATAGAATTTAGAAGTTTTAGAACGTTACCCATTGGCGAATCGAGCGACGATTCCATGATCAGCGCGAAGAGAAGAGATTCTGTCTTCGGGGCCTCACCGGAGTTGCCGCCGGCGGTCACCGGACGCCACCGCCCGACCGCCGTTGCACGGTGGCGGAAAAAGTGGAAACCGCCCAGAAAATTGCAGGTCACCACCACCCGCCTCCAATTTCGTAAGGAATCCAAAATCTGCTATCACTTTGTTGAGCCAGTGCCTCGTTTGGCTGGATCTAGCTTCCACAAGCACCTTCCAAAGCCGCCGTCCATGGTGGTTTATCAAAAACTCAAAAGGCAAACATAACATCACAAATTAATGGGGGAAAAAGGTTCATATGTAGGAGAGGAGTTGTTTGAGACCAACCCCAGCACTTGGAGTCGACGGAATTGATGAGATTTCGTCGGAAAACTTCATCGCGCGGTGGACAGCCTTCCAATCGCGATCTCTCTCAATTTCAGGCCTCATCACGCGAACTAAGACCATAGAAGAGTTCATCTCGACAAGAGGAGCAAGATGGAGTGCTTAGTGTCGACTTCCATGGCTGGTGGACGGAGATCGTAGTGAGCAAGAGAGGGGAGGATGTCGCGCGAGGAAGAAGAAGAGAAGGAAAGAAAAGAAGAGGGAAAGGAAAAGAAAAGAGAAAAGGAAAGAAAGTGGCTTTAGACCATTCTTGTTCGATTTTGAACCGGTTTGGTCTGATTTAATGGTTTCGTCTCATTTTGTTTTGGTTTTTCGAGTTTTTCACTCGCGTTTTCAGATTACATTCGTTGGTGGTTTTCGACAATTTCAAATTTGATTTCCGGTCCGTTCGATTATTATTTAATTATTTTAGTTGGGTAAATAAAACATTTCTTCAATTTCCTTTCTAATAATTTACAACAATAATAATAACAACTAAGTTAATTCAGCGATAATATAGTTTATATAGTAGCTTTCCATTTTATTTCATCAAAATTTCCGGACAGTCTGTTTATTGGGCTTGGGGCCCATTCAAAATTTTGGGCTCCAAGTTAAATTCAAATTTGGGCTCAAGTTAAACTTGCTCAGTCTTAACAACCCATACTATCAAAAATTCGGATTTTTGATTTAATAAAAATTCCAAAGTTTTGAAAATAAAATTTCGGGGTATTTCAGGGAGCCTTCATCTAGTTATTTTAAAATTATTAATCCCTTTTATAAGTTTGTGAATTTAGAAATTTTTTCTGCAAATGATTAAGTAGTTTGATAGTGAACAAATATATCACATTTATTATTATGTATTATATATAATATTAATACACTAATTCAAATTAATTATATAATTAAATAACGAGCATTATTAGGATAATAAGAAAATAATAAAAGATAAATTTTGTTACTATGAAAAAAATGATGAAAATGATAATTTGAGATACAATTTTGTATATAGTATTAGTATTTTTTTCAATATTATATTAGAGAAAGAGATATGACATTATACAGTAAAATCTCTATAAATTAATAAGGTTGAGACTATGAAATTTTATTAATATAGAGAATATTAATTAATAAAAAATTTATAGTTATTTAAAATATCTTTTTTTTAGATTATTTTAAAATCTTTAATTAATTTTTTTATTTATATAATATATTAAAATAAAAATAAGAGGCACTATTATTAAAATATAAATAATATACGTATCAAATAGTAAAATAAAAATAATTATATCTTAGATAGTTCAGGTTTATTATTTTAACAGTATCCTAAACTATTAATAATTGTTTATATAATCACTGAACATATCATGAGCTAACTGCTTATCAGGCGACATTAGTCACAAGTTATTAACAATAATATATTAAAATAAAAAATAATATACGTCATAATATATAAAAATAATTATATTCTTAATAGTCATTTTATATTTTAACAGTACCACTATTAAAATTTTATTAAACACAAACAATAATGAGCTAACTGCTATCAGTCATTAGTCACCAGTTATTAACAATCATTATTAATTGTTACTAATTATCAGTAATTAGTTGTTGTGAATCTTTCAATGAAATGAGCATAAAACTTTTTACAACTTTCAATAATTGCACATAATTTTTATGAAAGAGAGATTAGAAAAAATTATAAAATTGATTAATTCTTTTAAAGTGGGAAAATACTTTCAACTTTACATGCTATTGTATTATATTTTTTAACTATCAAGTGGAATTAATATTTAACTTTCATTTTAGGATAAAAAGTTAAAATTAAGATAAAATTATAAGTCATAAAGTTTAAAATAGAGTTGCTTATTACGTAAATCTTAAATTGAAAATTTTTAATTTATCATTTTAAGTGGTGAGTGCATCTTTGTATGGATACATATTAATATTAAAATTTGATAATTAACGACTGAGGAAACTGTTTTCTACGTATTCTGAGCGAATTTGTACATGTACATGTCGTTTTCGCATTGTCCACGGCTGACGACAACTTTTCTAATTTGCATGACCCCACAGGCCCACACAATCACGTGCATCCTCTCCTCTCCATAATCAAAATATACAGAGAGGCCAGAGCTGATATCTCCTTCCCTTTCCTCTCGTTAACCGTATCAACAATGGAGAGGCCATTAGTCGAATTATCAGAAACAGAGGTCCGCTTAGACTTTATGCTCAATTCCAAATGCCGAGCCAACGTCACTCTCCGGTCACTCTCCGCCACCACCGCAATCGCCTTCAAAGTGCAAACCTCATCGCCGCACAAGTTCCTAGTTAATCCACCTGCTGGGCTTATCCCTCCTTTATCTTTCACCACTTTCCAAATCATTCTCAAACCCCAAGCCCAACTTCCTCCCTCTTTCCCTCGTTCTCCGTCCGATCGTTTTCTCATCAAAACGGCGCCATTTGTTCCTAACTCTCCCGATTCCACTCACCCTGATTCTCTCAACTCGTGGCTCTCTTCACTTCCTCGTGGGTCAACTCAGGATTTTAAGCTTAAGGTTGCCTTTGTAGGTCCCTTTCTTCTCCACCAAGCTGTCATCTGCGGAGATATCGACTCGGTCAAGAATATAATAAAAAGGCAGAGGTCGATTCTTGCTGAGTTGCCGCCGAGAGAGGCTGAGTCCCTCCTCCGAGCTGCCACCGAGTTGGCTGACCCGGAGGATATGGTGAATTTGCTGCTTGAAGCTGGGTTGACGATTGACGCACGTGCGAAAGCAGATAACGTGGGTGGTTTTTATGAAGTGGATACAAAGTGGCAATCCAAGGGTTGGAGTGAGTTACACGTGGCTATCGCATTTGATCGGACGGAGGATGCTTTGCATCTGTTAGACAGGGTTGGCCCGTTGGATTTCAGAGATAAAGAGGGAAGGACACCGTTACATTTGGCGGCAAGTAGGGGAAATATCCAGTGCGCTAGGACGTTGGTGGAATCGGGCGCAGATAAGGATGCTAAGAGCAAAGATGGTAGAACTGCACTGTGCAGAGCAGCGGCTAATGGTGACCACAAGATGGTGGAGCTGCTAATTGAGATGGGTGCGGACCCCACAATTGCTGATGATCGTGGCCGTTCAGCCTTTGATGTTGCTCGCGACAAGGGACATGTAAGTTTGTGACAGAACGTTACCGTCCACCTAAAACATTAATTTAAAAAAAAAAAAGAGTTAAATTAATTAAAAAATCTCTGCAAATTACTAGTTAGTTATAAACGTGAAACGACCTTGTCCTTTGATTATTTTCTATTAATAGTAGTGTTAATTGTGACATTGCTTTGCAATGTAGGAAGAGATTGTGGAGATCCTGGAACGAGGAGAAACAGTGTTAATGGCAGCAAGGCGCGACGACTTGGAGCACCTTCAATCTTTATTACAGAAAGGTGCAAGCACAAACTACTGCGATCAATATGGTTTAACAGCCTTGCACGCAGCAGCTTTTAAAGGACACAAGAACATAGTGTCAATGCTAGTTGAATTTGGGGTAGATTTAGAATGCCAGGACAATGAAGGCCATGTCCCTCTCCATTTGGCCGTGGAGGGTGGCAGTTTAGAGACTGTTGAGGAGTTAGTTAACAGAGGAGCTAATCTTAATGCCAAGAGCAACAATGGTGCCACCCCACTCTACATGGCTAAAACAATTGGCTATAATGACATCTCAGAGTTTCTTGTAAGCAGGGGAGCTTCCTCTTCTCCTTCTTCCTCTTTATCTTCCTCATTTTAATTTTTATGTTATATATAATAAAGATAGTCTAGTGATTCTATACATGAGCTAAATAATAAAGATGCCACTACTAAAACTCCGAAGTCTTGATTAGTGCAGTGTGTAGATCAAATGGTTTTTTTGGTGAAAATTTATTTTTCATATTATCTGCAGAACCATGTAGTTGACGGGCGTCGAATCCGCCAAAAATAATTAACCTGCTCCCCTACAAAATAAAACTTGTAAATATGGTGAGAAGGATCGAACCCTAGGGATTAGCTTTGTCGAAAATAGACCAAAACTGAAAATAAAATTAAAAATAGACGTTCGAATCTCGCCAAAAATAACTTACCGGCTGCTCCTATCCATAAATAAACTTGTAATAGTGGTGAGAAGCGAACAGAAACTAGGGATTAGCTTTGTCGGAGATGATATGAGATGCGTAGACCGCAAAATCTGAAATAAAATGTAAAAATAGATATGTGAAAGGGGGAATTTATATCGAACTAAACGAATTAAAATTAAATCAAAGAAATAAATGCAATAGAAATTTAAAAATTGAACCTGAACAATTGTAGAAAATTTCAAGCCAAGGCATACGCGGATCCGAAAATTTTTGATTCGATTTGTTGTATTTGTGATTTCAATGATTAAATTCCTTTAATTCCATATTTAGCATCAGAAGACTAAGTTATTAGCCAGAAATGAACGTCAACTCCCAACCAATTCTAATATCACGTATGATGAGAGTTTGCCCCCCCGTAGAAACAGCATACGATCTATCTAATAACTATACCCCCTAATCACGTAGCACAAATATACCTAACGTACGTACGAAGCTTTAACTGTTAACTCCGCTTTAGGAAATCTAAGATAGAAGGCCCCTGTCCAGATTAAAGAAACTACGCAGCATCCATTTCTAAAATCTGATTATATTGCTTTCTTATACAACCTAGAAAGTTCTAGCCATTACGTTATATAATTACTAACTCTGCATACACCTAACCAACTCAATTAAACGGCATTTGATTACGCCCGATAGCCTATGGAAATTTCTACAAAACCAACATAATCGGGCCCTGTTAAATCATTCAATAGAATTTCGCTAGGGGATGATATTCTCCTCCAATAAATCAACAGAAGGATATAAATGCAATATAGATAAAGAAATTTAATTAAAGTTCAATATAATTCACATCGAACTCAACCAACTTCTTTACCTTGGTTTTTATGCCTTTAACTTGAACAGAACGTTTAAGCCACACATGACTATGGATAGAAAAGCATCCCCTCGACGAAGATATTTGAAAGTTGGTAGAAAATTCTCTCATAAAAATTCTGTTTCAAAATTCGTCAACCTTGAACCGCAAGGGAGGCGAAAAGGATAATCACAAAAGGATCCCTAAATTTCGACTTAAATATGCCCTAGAAAGGTGGTCCCATAATACAATTAAAAATACCCTAAAACCTGTTGTCTAAATATCATCCTGTGGCGTTAAAACGCTGCTGGAATTAGTTGAATCAGAAGTCGTGACCCAGCCAATAATGTCACACAATCAGTCCGCTGGTACTGACTTTCCCTGCTTAGTCCTTCGCCCATAGGCTAGGCAGCGCAACTACTACTTGCAAATTTGTGTTTCCACAAAATTCCACAGCTCCTCCTTCTGCCAAAACGATTCAAGTTGTGCTCCTTTTTTGGCTTCATTCATAATCAAATCCAACTTTTCCTAGCATGATAATACAATTAAATGCAAGGTTAAAACCAGCTTTTTAAGCACCAAATGACACCCAATCAACACAAATAATAACAAGAAAGAAAATTGGATTGTGCAAGCTCATCAAAATTTCCGCCACACTTATTCCCATGCTTGTCCTCAAGCATGACTGTAGAATTCGACATCTATTCTATATAGGCTCAGATGCTAACGTACTTCAACAGGTATGTTGACAATATCTTCGATTCCTAACATCAGCCAAAAACCGCAAACAACGCAACGTATCATGTCTTGTAAATATTAAGTACATTATTAATATAAACAGCATCAGCATGATATAAGAGTCTGTATCCATTATTATATCAGCATGACAGGGCATAAAGTCAACCAGTTTGTAGCATCTCGGTTTGGTTCATTCGGGTTAACGGGTGGACCGGGAAGGGATGTTATAAAATACATTTTCGTAGCTTCAAGAAAATAAGATAATGAACAACCATAAGCTCTCCTCGCGGTTCCCTCTCCACTAATGTAGGACAAGTCTCAACTAAGGATCATTAGGTTTTTTATATGGGTTAGGCTAGGGTAATGGTTACAAAAGAAAAGGATAATGTAAGGCTAGAGAGTAATAAGAAAACAAGTCTTTCACATTAGGTTCAAAGAGCAATGCGCGCTATTAACTTTAATGTTTAGATGGCAACAAATGCAACTTCACAAAACAAAACATAACATAACATTGCAGCCTTTTCCTCTATTTTTCTTTTTTTTTTTTTTTTTTGATTTTATGGCTGCTGTTTATTTATTCTTTCTTCCTTTCGCCTTTTCCTCTATTTTTCCCCCTTTTTTTTTTGGCTGCTGTTTATTTATTCTCTCTTCCTTTTTTTTTTTTTCTTTTTTTCTATTTCTTTTCTGATTTTCTTTCCCTTTTTTTTTCTGGAATTTTTTTTTCGACATCACAACGACTAATTACATATAAGTCGCTATGACTATTTATTCCAAAACACAAACATAAACACGAAACAAAAATGCATTCGCACCAAAACTTGAAACTTAAACATGCATGCTCAACAACGATTAAAAAGAGCATTTCCTTGTTCAAAAGTGGTGGGCAAAGAGCTTTTTGGGTTATATGGTTATATTGGGGGTTATGAAAAGAATTTGGAAACACGCATTTAGCATGCTTCGTAGGCTAGAAGGGGTAAAAAGAAAAAGAACGGTGACGTCAAGGTGGGAAAACGTAAAAGGGATTAATGAATCGGCCAAAGAATGCCTAGATCATTTCCAAAGTCGAGACTCACCTAGGATTTCGCCTCAAGGGAACGTAGAAGAAAGTTCTAGTGTTCGGAAGCTATCCTAAACTTTTGCTTCGACAATTGCTCTCACAAACACTTATCAAAAGAGGATAAGTTTTGAAAACCCGATTTGAGAATTCAAAGTGTAGACAATTTAAACCAAGATTCATGAGTGCAATGACGGTCAATTTCAAGTTATGGTTTCCGCTCGCTAAGTCCTAAGTCTTATCGTCTAGGGTTCTCACAACAGTCAGACCAAGTTTCAAAAGCAAAGTTCTCCTCTCTAAATATCCTATGAGTTCTAAATCATGTTTAAAGACACAATCAAGTCCCAGAGTAATCCCAAATTCAGCTCAAAAATAAAAAATTTTACTCAAAATATTCATGGGATAAGTGGTAAACAAAAACTCTAGGAGCATTTTTACAAAACAGTCAAAAATGGTCAAGTTTCTGTGAACCCCTTTCCCCCGGATGCATATGCATGTGATGCATATGACAAAAGCGCATAAAACATAAGCAAGTGAACTAGAACAACACATGGGCAAAAGAGTTTAATATTAAAATTTCAACAGCAAAGATCGGTCACATTCCCTCCCCACACTTACTCCAACAATTGTCCTCAATGTGGAACTCACAAGGCTTTTAAAATGTAAATAAAAGGTATAAGTTGAAGGAAACTGCCCTGTTGTGAAGGAAACTGCCGCTGTTCTGAGCCATTACCACACATTGTCCTCAATGTGGACTCAAGGCTTAAAATGTAAATAAAAGGTAAAGTCTAAGGAAACTGCCCTGTTGTGGAGTATTCACTACCAAACCTCAGTGCGAAGTATCATTGTTGATCTGCAGCATGGCTGCCATTTCTGTCAATCAAATTTCCAATACTGAACATGGCATATTTCCAATCCCACCAACTTCTGCAATTCAATCAATTGGGTTTGATGTTGTACCTATTACTCTCAATACTGAACATGGCATTAAAACAACATAGCAAAACAAGCAAGCAAACTTAGTTGAAACAATGACAACAGATTCTAAGTTTTAAGAGCTTATATTCAGAATACTAATTTTAAACCCAATAAATTGATCCCAAATCGCATTGAACACTGAATTTAGTCAATAAAAGCCTAGAATTAAACCCAACTCAGAATATTCAGCAATCGAACTCCACTCAGTTATCAATTCCAACTCCAATTTAAACAAAATTCGAATTATCAACAAGCAAGAAAATTATAAAAACTTCCCCTTCAGCAAGCAAGTATTGCAAAGTTAAACAATAAACCCAATAAAAACTTCCGAAACAACAAAACCCATAAATCATAATGTGCTCATATAGCTTCAGCCAACAATCTATAACATAGCTAAGTTCTTCCCTAATTCAAATTCAGCAACAATTGATTAACTAGAAAAAAATAAATAAATAAATAAATAAAAACCAACTGAAATCAATGACAATGCAGTAAATTTGAGAATCACGATTTCTATTCTAATAGGAAGTAAATTAATACCTGTTGCTGAAGTTGGCACGGAAAGGAATCAGATGAGGAAGGAAGACGCTGCTGTTGGATTTTGCGTCGCGCTGTAAAGTGACGTAGGATTGGGCTAAGGACGAAACAAAAGTCTGTTTGGGTTTTAGGTTGTCGATCGGAGTGACAAAATTCTTGTCGTCGATCTTCAGAACTCCTGCCGTCGTTCAAGAATCTCAGCCAACGCAGGTTTCATCGAAAGAGCGCCTCCTGCCCCTATTGTGCCTGCTGCCCCTGTTTGGGTTCTCTTATTCTCTCTTTTTTTTTCTTTTTTGTTTTCTTTACTGTTGCCGCACAAATATAACCAGCTATTATTATTATTATTATTATTATTTTTACCCAGTATAATAACAAAGTAGCTGAATAAAAGAAAAAGAAAAAAAAAACTCTAAGTCCCAGTATCATACAAAGTACTGAATAAAAACTAAAAAAATAAAACAAGTCAAAATAATGACCCTCTTTCGCTAAAATGAATAAATCTCTCTATAGTCTCCCCACCAATGAGAACCACATAAAATATCAAATAAAACAATTTTAACCAAATGCATTTAAAAACCCATAGATAGCTTT